GTAAACAAACTTGTCTGACACCGGCCTTTACTTCGAACGACTTTGTCAACTGTTCTCCATGCACGATTTTGCAGTTCAATCCATCATAGGAATTCCGTATGATATTGACTATCTTCTGAGGCACTCCGTAGTGTCGAAGAAGCTTTCATAGTGTTGTCCTGTCCATGCTATCAAATGCTTTCTCATAGTCAATGAATTTGATGTCGCGCGATGGATTTAATTTGACTGATTGTTCCACAATGATCCGTAGAGTTGCGACTTGGTTTGTACACGATCTAACCTTACGAAATCCAGTCTGTTGGTCTCATAACTCTACCTGGAGCCCCTCTAGGGCTACTGCGGGATTCGAGCCTGGATAACGGGGGAGGGTTGTTTATGGGGTTAGTGACCCCAGTAGAAAGCTGACTCGCTAAAAAAACGCTGACCAAAAAATTATTTCATACTTTAGTTTACTGAATTTTTAATCTGTTATTTATTTGATATAGATTAAAATTACTGATATTTACAACTAACATTACAGAATACAACAAAACTTGACAAATAATTTTGAATTCAAATTTACGGTAATACAAGTTTTGTCAAGGTTACATATCAACTAAATCCAAGTATCTGGTTAAAAAAATAACACTTTAATAAAGTTTTCTGACTTGTCAGGAGAATTGCATAAAAGTGAGTTTTCTTTTACCTAACATATTAAAAAGAATTTTCCCGGAAACATTCAATATATCAGACAAAACTTTAGTCGAACAATAAGATAACTTGATGAGAAATAAAGAAAATGTTAAACTTAGTAAATATGAACATCATTAAAATAAACACGGATTAATCATTGCACACATCACTCTAGAAATTGAAAACAAAATCAATACAATGAGGAAGGATAAAGTTTATTAATTAGACTCTTATGATATCAAATGGGGTTTTTGTGGATATTATAGTAATTTTAATAGTTGAGATCATCAGTTAATTAAAGACCACCATGGAAAACCTGGAAGCAATAAACTGCCTTTCCGTCCCATCATGAGACTCATCAGTAATGCGTGTCAACGATCCCTCTCTTATTAGAATCATCATATGCTCACTAATAACTGGCGTAAAGAGGTATATATATATATATAAGAAGAATTCACTAAATCTAATATTATTTGTATTACGTAATTTAGTATGATAATCTTTCTATTACGTCATCTTGGTTATTCGTGTTCACATTTCCTCACGGAACTGGTACTTTAACAAAAAAATTTATATATACATATATATATATATATATATATATATATATATATATATATATACAATTGTTCAGAATGATAACAGAAATTCGTTGAAAGGAGATCTTTCCACTGACCTTAGTTTTTTTTTAAATTTTTGAACATATTAAATGTCATTGTTTAAGAAACTCAGACTGTAACCTACAAATTATTGATAAGTTTTGGGTCCGAATCCCACGAGGTGCGGTCGTGGATAAGCCCTGCTGAGGAGTCTCACAATAGAACGAAACGGTCATCCAGTGATTTCAGGTTTTTCATGATGGTCTAGCTCCAAATGATTCATGTTCTCAACTAGTGAAATTACTACAATCTCCACAAAACCCCTACGGATATATTGATGTATACATTTTACTCATTTGTTTTATTAACAATATACAATTAACATAAAATAGATTACATATATTCTATTCCCATTACTTTTTTTATAGTGTAACGTCTTTGTTTTTACGTAAGTTATACTTCAACATTTGTATGTATATAGATACATGTAGTTTTGTTAACGAATATACAAATAATCATTGTATTTGTGTAAATTATTTATTAGCCTGTAATAAACAGAACATTAAAAATTATAAATAGATTTTAACAGTATTACATTTGTGATCACTAAAACACGTGCCAATGTAGTTTCTATAATTATAGTCATTATGTTATGAGAAATTTATACCAGCTGACAACAAAAATACTTTCATCTTTTGTTGTTTTTTTTCTTTCTTCCTTTTTTTCTTTATAAAGTGAATATGCGTGATTCTCAAACATTTTGAATTGCCGTGATAAATAAACAGTAATCTTCAGTAAATTGTTAATGATTATTATCACTAATTTTTTGTTTAAGAAAAAAAAACCCTTGCTGGTTGAAATCATGAGTCAATTGAAGCTTGACCATCATGGAAAATCTGAAATCAGTGGAGGGCCGTTTCGTCCTAGTATGGAACTCCTCAGTAGTGCGCATCCACGATCTAGTGAGAAGTCGTTACCAGTGGAGTTCAACCAGGTCTGTTGTGAGATATCAACTCACTGAAAACAATGGTGTATGGTGGCGCAACCTCGTGGATTGGTTGAAGTTAGACATTAACACCGTTGGATGCCGGCTCAGTGTTCTAGTTGGTTAAGAGCCTGGCGTGAGACTGATAGGTCCTGGGTTCGAATCTCGCGAGGTGCGAGATTGTGGATGCGCACTGCTGAGGAGTCTGATACTGAGAAGAAATGACCGTCAGTGCTTCCAGGTTTTCTATGTTGGTCTAGCTTCAATTGACTCGTGATTTCAACCTGTGGAATTTCTAAAATCTCCACAAAACCCATTCTGATAATAATAAAAAAACCCATTAAAAATCTAGTTGATTTGTGTTAGAAAATTGGAGATTAGATCACTTTAAGACTAACTTTCATCATACAACAAAATCATCTTCAAAACCTTCAAAAAACAATAAACAGTAAATGAGTTATTTCTCTAGAAATTTTAATACTCTTCACCAATTTTAGTTTACAGCTATACATTATTATTTGTCTAGAATGAAAGATACTTTTTTTAAGCTAAACAAATCTACAAAAAAATCGTCTTTCTTTCTAGATAATGTTTAGTTGTGATACTGTGATAGAATCCATAAAATACTTAAAGTACATTTTGAAATCCACTGCTAGCCACTATCTATGATTGTGACTTCAAAGAAATATTGAAGCATTCTATACTGGATGAATATACCATAAATGAGAATCATCTATTTTAGTTCTTAACAATAAAGACAAATGATTTTAACAAGAGAACCATATTTCTTATTCTTTAACTTTCTTATCATAAACCATTTCAACATAATTTCTTAGTTATAGCAGCATACATCTGAAGAATATATGGAACTCAAAACAACTGTCAACCAATATCAAAGTTAGAATGTTTATTGCGAACGTCGGGAACGTTCTACTGTACGGAGCTGAAACGTGGGGAACTACTACAGCCATTACCAATGAAGATAAAAGTATTTATAAATACTTGTGTACGCAAGATAATCAAAATCTATTGGCCGGATACCATCAGTAACAGTTTACTTTGGGAGAAAATAAACCAGCTTCCATTTGAAGAGAAAATTAGTAAAAGATTATGGAAATCGGTAGGACATACATTACGCAATTCATCAAACTGCCTCATGAGGCAAGCCCTAACATGGAATCCTAAAAACAACAACAATAACAACAACACTAAACAACTGGACTAGATTATCTTTACAATAAATTCTTATACAAATGGAATACAATAAAATAATCGAGGTTTTTTTCTAAAAAAAACTTTACAAAAAGAAAAATAATACGGCACTACAAAAAAAGGAAACTAATCAAATCAATAGATCAATTAACTGATGGACATTTTTCAATTTTATTAAAAATACAAAAAATAGGGAACAAATTGGGTATTAAATTGAAATACACTAGTAACAAAGAATGTAATGTGACATGATAAAGATATTTAAAAGAGATATACGAAAGAAAAAAAGAACCTTTAAAATATAAACTAATTCTAGGAATAAATTCTTTTTCATGACATTCTAGGTTAAGTGACCTATCATTGAAAACGCTTAGTTCGGTGAATTGGTGCCTTCTTTTGTCTGATATATATATATATATATATATATATTGATTATACAGAATTTATTTTTAATATTCCGATTCTATATGGTACACCAAAAATCAAATAAATCACCTCACTACAATCTTACTCATTTATTAAGCGTATTACCCTTTTGTACATTGATATTATCGATTTTCTTTTTCATTATTATGAATGATTACATGTATTCATCTTTTGAGGAAAATAATTTTAGATCATGAGTCAGTTAAAGCTAGACCACCATGGAAAACCTGGAAGCACTGTACGGCTGTTTCGTCCTATTGTGGGACTCCCGATACTCCCTGATACTCCTTTTTGTATACAATCAAATTGAATATCAGTCATTTGTTAGTTTCTTTAATTTATTCTATTTATTAACATGGATATCTATTGTTAGATATGAAAATAGCATTTTGTTTGTTTGTTTTAACTAAAGAAGTAAATCAATTTAAGGCTTTCATAATTGACTGTAATACTACGTTGTTTCTTATAACTATATTATTTTCTGTTTAACTAGCATTCATCGCATTATGTTTACGTAATTATACATATATTATTTACATTAGATCAATTGTAAAACACTACCAATAAGGAATACAAGTACTATTCAATACAATAACCATGATTTTTTTAAATAATCCCTTTTTGTAAAGAAAAGTTTGCTATTACAATGAGAAAACAGAGTTAATACTTGAACATGTACATCTATGACAAGATTGTTCGAAATGTATAGTGTAAATACATCACAATTTCCGAATTCACTTTGTCTTCTCATTGTGTTTAATTAAGATCATGGTTTTTATAACTTTATTCATTTGACATTATCCTCAATCTATTGATAAATATATACCATTTACTATTGAAGTAGAATATGTCTTATTGATAAGGTTGAAGAAGTTAATTAAGTTATGTAAATACCTTATATCTTATTAATTGGATAGAAAAAATACATTTGAACTAATCAGTAAAATAGTTGACAAAAGAACCGATGCATTATAACTAATATATTTTGACTGGCAACTAGTTATATTGGCTAAAGTCGTGATTTAAAATTATTTATTTATCATCATCATTATTATTTAAGTGTTTCATTATGTTTTAATCAACGTAATAAAAAACAAGAAACTTACGAACTTCCAAATAAAGACGATGTTGATCAACCCATTGTTCACCACCAAATCCAACATAAGCTGAACTATGGCATGTATAAACACCAGCATCATTCATCGTTACATTAGGTATAACATACAGTTTACTGTATCCTAATATATTACCTTCAGGATGTTCCCATCTATATTGTACTTGACTTGGATTCACCTCTGGTGGTAAATTCACTGAACAATTTAATACTACTTTACGTCCAAGTAGAACAATCCATCGACGTACATGACTTGGTTGAGTTGGTTGAATTATCCCATGATAACGTAAATAATTATTACCATGATACATTTGACGGCCATTTTGACAAGAAACAATAATTAATAGAATTGTTTGTAGAATTAATAATTTGATAAAAGATGTCATAGTTACAAATATAGCTACTATGAACTATATATTTTTATCTTTGTTTATGACAAGTAGTCGTCCTTACTAGTTTTACTGACTGTAAACTTTAGTGTACGATTTTTTTTTCGGAAGGCAAATAAATAGTTAGAAAACACTTTATAATAGACAGAAACCGGCCGGTATTCCGATGCCGTACAATTATTTACTTAAATTAGATGGACGTATAAACACACGAATTTGAGGTTTTTTTCATAAAATCTAGAATGATTGTGTATAGAAACACATATTCCGCACAGGCACACAATTACATATACTAACAAAGAAATAAACAAGAGGATATGTGTGCATTTAGCACATAATTCACTACTTATTCGAATAACCTACGCATTTTTCTTGCCCAAGAAAGAAAATAATGTACACTACAAAAAGTACAGTTTGTCATGTGAGTATGATGTTTGTAATAAAATAAAGTATAAGATGAATATAATTACAAATACGGGAACTCTAATAAGTGGACAAATGAAGTAGTGTAAATGTGAAAATTTAATGGTAGATAAAACAGAAATGAGAATAATCACAATGTGTACTTCCAAATATGAGTATATCTAAACAGCTATTATAATTTAGCTTTAATGATGATAGACATGAATATTTGAAACTAGGTCTGGTCTTAGACTAACATCGGTTGATAAAACTATAACTTCCTACTAAATCCTAGCTTTCAATGGATTTTCAACTAATGTTCATTCATAAAAATACTTGCACTCACATTGAATTGAAATCCACTTGTAATGTCAGTTACTATGTTAAGCCCACATAGGGTATTCTAGCTTTCGGACAGACCAGCTTATTGATACTTCTTGAGTCACGTTTTGACCTTGTTAATTATTCACTTATCAATCCTGCAAGTTTTTATATGAACGTATGTGTGTGTATATCTTATCCTACTCATCACATGTCTGTAGCTTATTTTTAGCTGACAATAATTATCGAGTCAAGCTTAGTTAAAAGGAGTTGGCTCACACGCCTTCTCCACGGTGGATTGTTTCATTTCGCTTCATTCCTTTGATCGTCCGGCTGGATCAATGATTGTACAAAATATACATATTCGAAATCCTTTCTCGTACTTGGCTTATTTTAATTCCGTTATTCACTAACACGAGTTAGGTCGATAATCATATACGAGGACAACCAGGATGAATATTCTGACAACAATCATTCATACAAACTGATCGGAGTCAGATATAGGCCCACTAAATATTAAACCGTTACAGTTATGAATAAATTTAAGATAAATAAATTATTATACATTACGTAACTTCTTTTGTTTTGCAGTTAAAATACGATAATTAAAATGAAGATGTGGTATGTGCTACTTATATTGACATAAGTAGTATATGATGTTAGTCGTAAACAGAAGGTCTGGCAGCAGAGAGACAAGAGGATCGAACAGTAAAGAATGGGAACAGAATGCAATTTGTATGAAAATGCAAAATCAATGAAATCTGAGCCATTTTGAGACAATCGATGGACATTTTGCAAATTAAGCATTTGCTTTATGATTGTTAGATTTTATTAACAAGTCCTGTAAGTTTGCGTTTAATATGTCCGATTGTTCCCCACCCGTGTTCTGTCCTCTACAAGTGAGTTAAAGGATTGGGTTAGTGAATCCACCATGTATAAGTACACAAATTGGTTTTCATTCAGTCATTGAAATCTCTTTTTATTATGTATTTCAATTATCATGCATAAAAGATGGGTTTTTAAAAATAACAGTTAAGTATATTCTAAAATTTATTCGTCAACTACTGGTGTATGCTATAGTAGATTATGATAAATCATATCTAAATATGATCTATAAAGACCTGGAGATTACCAACGTAGACGACCCCTGTCGAATGATTAGAGGCCCACCCGAGTCAGACGGGAATGGTGTGATCAACAGCTAACGTCGAAGTCACACTTTGAGGTCAGCACCCAACGTGGATTGTACCTTGGTCGTATATCAAGGTACTATGGATACTTTGAAGACCGTACAATATAAAGGAAGTTATTACAGAAATGTATTAGTTAAAGTAGGTACAAACAAAAGCGTGACCACCATTGCATGGTTCAGTCCACGGCATATAATTAATTGATGCGCGTTAGTTGTCCTTGACGTAAACGGAGATTGATGAACTGTTCGATATTCAGTGACCTAACTCCCAGATGATTTGGCTAGGGCTCAATGACATTTCACTGGCCCTATAGACCTATATTTTGGTCGCTTATTTAATCGGATTCAACTGTAAGCTAAATGTGAGTAACATATAAATAAATGTAATAACATGTTAAGTTGCTGAAAATCAACGAGATGAAGTTCTATTATTTTGACTACCTACCAATTAGTATTAATTAACTAATCAGAGATTACTGATGAAAAAAAACTTTTTAGCTTCTTACGTAATTCCATTAATGTCAATATTTTTTAGCTTTCAAAAAGAAATGAATATTGGCAATTAATCGTTGCTTTTTTTAAGTTACCTGGCTATTCTATTATGTAAGTTTCATCATCATCCATGAACGATATTTTCACAGTCACTAACTTGTATTCATTTGACTAAAGAAAAATAAATATTTCTGTAACGATCATAGTATAAATGTCAATAGTTTAGACGAAAATGTAAAGTGTACATTTCCAATCAGATAGAACTTAATTAATTATGTTTTTATTTTTTATTCAAACACATAAACATTGGTACAAAGAGGTACCAAATAGATATGCGCTACATAAATCATTCGATTTGTGTGAGGGTTCAGATACTGCCCAGGTACTCAAACCGAAACAGGTGGTTTCCTAGGGGACCACACACGGAGCCCTCGACCCAAAAATCTGATCCACAAGGCAGTGCAGCAATGTCAGGAGATGCAGTCCCATGGTAATCAGTGACCAAACCATTGGTTCATACGCCATTTGTTTCTTCAGGATACTGGAGCCCATGTGCACCATTGGTTTAAAATCAGGGTTTTCCAACTCCCCTAGGTGAACTTTTCGTTTCCATTAACTCGGTTAAAACACCAGACATTCGCTTTCCATCCTCTCAATTTCGTAAACAACAGTAATACCGCTAGAGGGCAGTGAGTAGAACTTCTCTGGCAGTGGTCTTCTGCACGTGGCCATGTGTGAGCATTTTTAGAGGGAGAGCTGTCTCTCTTCATTCTCGGCCATACCAGGGCATTTGGGGGCAATCAAATATATAGTATGTAGGCTCTAATTATATGAAACACTATTATGTTTAGTATATTTACGATTAAATACTATTTATTTATATTGTAGTGGTAAATAAATTCCCAAACTAAATAGCTCTGTGAGTTTTCGACATTGGATGTGTTATGAATTTAAGTTGTGAGACTGCAGGGTTTGATAAGCAGCGTATTTATTGATCGATCGCAGTACAGTGACACGGAAAACACGTACGGACGGCCTAGAGTCTCTATTGGTCCCGCTTCCCTGTCTAGCCCAGTCAGTTGAGTCCAGAACACAAGTCACAACCTCTGAGATATGAATCATTATATTTCAAACATACTTTGTTTATATACCAATCAAGCATACCACAGCGTACCATAAAAATAGTAAACAACATTTACGCAATATGTAACGAATGAATTAAATAATAGCCAATAGGGAATGTACATTTAAAGTCCAAGGACACCACTGGACTTAACATGATAATTATTGGTCTATTCTTCCGCATCCACAACACCTCCCCTTTTTTTTGAAGATCCGGAGTTGATATCCGGATTTTGAAATTTTCTGGGTTCATCCTCCCCCACGAAATAATGTTGGGTCCTCATATTCCCAAGTTAGAATTAATTTGACTTTATTTAACACATAATTGTCAGATTGAACAGGGGAGTCACTGAAAGTGATTAAATAGTGGGGAACAATGTCGCTTGATATGAGGTCACCAACGTTTGATTCTTCTGGAACATTGTCACGGGATTTGTTGAAAATCTCATTTGTAAACAGTTGATCACTGCGATAATCAACATCTATCAAAATTGTATTAGATTTCTGATCATCATTTAATGCATTTAACACATTTTCTGGTACAAAAAGATCTAGATAATAAGATTCGTCAGAATCTCCTGTTGTTGAATGATGAGGACCATTTGAAACAGCTGGATTCAGTGTACCGCACGATTTGTTCCCTGTTCCGTTGTGGGCGGGTACTGCAATTAATTTATGAGCATTTAATAAGAGATCCTCCTGTGAGCTGGGTACATCACTGTCTGTACACGTTTCAGGAACAGTGGGATTTGAACCCACGACAGGGAACGTTTCGGAATTTGACATTTCTGGACAACTGGGCGGACCATGAATAACTGTCTCGTTTACATCACTGGTCGTCCGGGATTCACAGAGGCTTTTATAAACAGCTTCATATGTTCTGCAGTTGTTTTCCAGCTCAGTCTGCAGATGAGAAATGAATTTACCAACTTCTGTTGCACCTCCGAAACATGGAACATTTACCAACAGTGTGCGTAAATTTTCTAAAAAATTTAACTGGCTATTTTTGAAGCACTGCTGTTGTTGCTCAAGTAGAAGCTGTAATCGATCGGAAAAGGTAGTCATTTTTTTTTCAGCACCTGCAATGAAAATTAACTGTAGGAATAATGACCAATGTTGCTCAAGGACGCTGGTGACAATCTGGATGCTGATTGGTCGAAACAATTAACCTGAATCTCGTCCAATTACAAGGTTCAAAATTTTTCTCCACCCCGTCGCCAATTGTTATGACTGATGTGACTGCAGGTCTTGATAAGCAGCGTTTATTGATCGATTCGGTGAGAGTGACACGGAAAACACGTAGGAACGACCTAGTGCCCTGATTGGCCCTGCCCCGCTGTCTGTCCTAGCCAGTTGAGTGGAGAACAAAAGTCACAGCCTCGGAGATATGAATCATTATATTTCAAACATACTTTGTTTATATACTAGTCAAGCATACCACAGCGTACCATAAAAATAGTAAACAACATTTACGCAATATGTAACGAATGAATTAAATAATAGCCAATAGGGAATGTACATTTAAAGTCCAAGGACACCACTGGACTTAACATGATAATTATTGGTCTATTCTTCCGCATCCACAACAGGATGCTGACCGCATTAGCTGAAGGCTCTCGGTCATGCATCCGCACCA